CAAGCGGCCACAGGTTAGATATCCCCCCTGGGAGCCCCAAGAGGCTTCAGGAAACCCCAGGTGGAGTTCAGGAGGCTACAGGAGGCCCAGGAGGAAGCCCCAGGAGGTCCCCAGGAGGCCCCAGGAGGCACCAGGAGGCCCCCGCAACTCGGAGCTCTGAGACGCCGCGCTCGAGGTGGTCCGGCCCGTTTCGCCTGAAACTTCCTCGCAGCACGTTTCGCCCGAGACACCTGCCCGTCTCGCCTGAGGCATCCTTGCAACTCTGAGCTCTGAGATGCCGTGCGCAAGTTGGTCCGGCCCGTTTCGCACAAGACATTCTCGCAACTCTGAGCTCTCAGATGCTGCGCAAGAGGTGGTCCAGCCTGGGGGCCCAGAAGACCACATGTTACATATCCCCCCTGGGACCCTGGGAGCCCCAGGAGGCCCCAGAGAGCTTCAGGAGGCCGCAGGACGCCCAGGACAGGCCCCAGGGGTCCGCAGGAGATTCCCAGGAGGCTCCCAGGAGGCCCCAGGAGGCCCCCTATCAGAACGTGTCAAGTTAATAAACATCCGGTGTCGATTCGTTGAGTTGTTTCTGCTCTTGTGCCCCACCCACCCTAGTGCCCCACCCCCATTTTGGGGGGCCCCGACGGCCATATATTATATTAGATATCCCCCCCTGGGAGCCCCAAGAGGCTTCAGGAAACCCCAGGTGGGGTCCAGGAGGCCACAGGAGGCCCGGGAGGAAGCCCCAGGAGATCACCAGGAGGTCCCCAGGAGGCCCCAGGAGGCCCCCGCAACTCGGAGCTCTGAGACGCCGCGCTCGAGGTGGTCCGGCCCGTTTCGCCTGAAACTTCCTCGCAGCACGTTTCGCCCGAGACATCGTCGCAACTCTGGGGTCCGAAATGCCGCGCGCGAGGTGGTCCAGCCCGTTGCGCTGGAGACATCCTCGCAACTCTGGGCTCCGAGATGCTGTTCGGGATGAAGAGGAGGTGGAGGAGGAGGAGGAGGAGGAGGAGGAGGAGGCATGTTTTAACATGCCATGCCAGCCCGCACTGGACGGGCACGCAATCGACCTTGGAAACCGCAGTGGGTCTAAAAACCCTGTTTGGGGATACTGCACTCCGGCTATAATTCATTGCCCTGGTGATCCGGGGCCCCTCTCGAGGCCCACCAGCCGCCGTCGGCGGCGAGAGAACCTTCGGAGCAGCATGCGTGCGTGCTGCGGTGAATGTGGAAAAACGATCTCTCTGGCCATCTCATCGCACCGTCTCAGAATACATATTTGTGAACGGGCTTTCTTATAGGGCCGTGAATCTATAATCCCCCCCTCGGGCCTCGGTGGGACGGACGGTGGTGGGACAGCGAGAGTGTGCTCAGAGCTGCGAGAGACAGTCCATAATTGTTTGGGCTTTAGCTTCCCGACCCGCCCCCCCAGGGTTTTTTTCCTGAAAGTTGGTCCTCGGCAGCCTTGCCTTTTTCGGTGCCCTGGTGATCCGGGGCCCCTCTCGAGGCCCAGCAGCCGCCGTCGGCGGCGAGAAAACCTTCGGAGCAGCATGCGTGCGTGCTGCGGTGAATGTGGAAAACCGATCTCTCTGGCCATCTCATCGCACCGTCTCAGAAGTTTGTTGTTTGCTCGCCTTTGCGCCTCCGATGGCCTTCCGAGGCCTCAAGATGGCTCCCAAATTTACCAAGAAGGTCCCAAGAGAGCCCCAAGAGAGCGCCAAGACGGCCCCAAGAGCGCTCCAAGAGCGCCCCAAGGTCCAGGAGGCGACTTTAGTTAGGTGCTTTCAAGGGGGGACCCTAATTAGTGCCCCCCCCCTTCGTGGATCGATCTCCTCCAAAATGGCCCCAACAGCGCCCCTACAGCCCCTGAGAACGCCCCAAGAGCGCCCCAAGAGGCGCCCAGACCGCCCCAAGAGGCGCCCAAGAGGCTCCCAAGAGACCCCCAAGAAGCCCCAAGAGGATCTTCCGAACAAAAACATTTAAGACGTTTCTGGCTCTTCGGCTCGCCGTCCTCTTCCTCTTCCTCATCCACCTCTTCCTCCTCCTTTCTCCTCATCCTCCTCCTCCGCCGCCTTCTCCTCCTTTTCCTCCTTCTTCTCCTTCTGCTCCTTCACCTACTTCTTGTCTTCCTCGTCCTCGCCCTACTCCAGATCCTCCTCCTCAGTATCCTCCTCCTCCTCCTCCTCCGACGACGACGACGACACGACGACGAGTCCTCCTCCATCCCCCTCTTGGGGTATACGACCACTTCCCCAGCCCTTTGTTATTATGCGCGTTCCCCCGCTTCCCTGGTCACCTCAACTCCCCCGGGCATCGTTTCTGGATGGGCTGGTGGGGATACTTTTTTGTCGCAGCCGCAGGCGAGTGCGCCAGCGGCGAGTAATGTCCGAGCAGGCCGCGCAAGAGCCAAATTACCTAACGCCGACGGGCCGCTGGTGGGGATACGCTAAGTGTCAACAATTTCCCAACCATCCTGTGGTGTTGGGTCATCGTTTTGAAGAGACAGCGCCCGCGTCCTCCTTCAGCATCATCGCCACCAGCATCACCATCACCCAACATCCATCAGTATCATCATCCGCATCATCATCGTCACCCACATCATCATCATCATCATCATCATCATCATCATCATCATCATCATCATCATCATCATCATCATCATCACCACATCATCGCCATCATCATCATCATATCGTCCCCACCACGCATGTCGGCACACCCCTCACACGTTTCGTTGCCCCATAAGGAGATCCACCTAAGGTCCCAGTGGCGCAGGTCGCATGGCGCCGCCGCCCCATTTTAGCACACCCTCACACGCTTCGGGGCCCCATAAGGACCTCCACCGAAGGTCCCAGTGGCGAAACGCGCATGGCGGCGCCGCCCCATTTTGGCTTACCACTCACACGTTTCGTGGTCCATAGGGACTTGTGGAACTCGCATGGAGGCGCCGCCCCATTTTGGCACACCTCTCACGCGCTTCGCGGCCCCATAGGGACCTCCACCTAAGGTCCCAGTGGCGGAACTCGCATGGCGGCGCTGCCCCATTTTGGCACACCCCTCAAACGCTTCGTGGCCCCATAGGGAGCTCCACATGAGGTCCCAGTGGCGCAACTCGCATGGCGCCGCCGCCCCATGTTGAGACACCCCTCACGCGCCTCGTGACCCCATACGGAGCCCCACCGAAGGTCCCGTGGCGGAACTCGCATGGCGGCGCCGCCCCATTTTGGCTTACCCCTCCGGCGCTTCGCGGCCCCATCGGGACTTCCACCTAAGGTCCCAGTGGCGGAACTCGCATGGCGGCGCCGCCCCATGTTGGCACACCCCTCACACGCTTCGTGGCATCATAAGGGCCTCCACCTGAGGCCCATTCGCGGAACTCCCATGGCGGCGCCGCTCCATTTTGGCGCCCCCCTCACACGCTTCGTGGCCTCATAGGGGCCTCCACCTAAGGTCTCAATGGCGGAACTCGCATGGCGGCGCTGCCCACTGGTGGCGCACACATTCACACGCTTCGTGGCCCCATAGGGAGCTCCACGTGAGGTCCTAGTGACGGAACTCGCATGGCGGCGCCGCCCCATTGTGGCGCACCCCTCACACGCTTCGTGGCCCCATAAGGAGATCCATTCAAAATGTCCAATGGCGGAACTCGCATGGCGGCGCCGCCCCATTGTGGCGCACCCCTCACACGTTTCGTGGCCCCATGGGGGGTTCCACCTGAGGTCCTGGTAACGGAACTCGCATGGCGGCGCCGCCCCATGTTGGTACACCCTTCGCATGTTTCGTGGCCCCACAGAGAGATCATCCACATAAGATGTCCCAGTGGCGGAACTCGCATGGCGGCGCCGCCGCGTGACATAGATAGTTCAGCGGCGCCGCGTGATTCCGCCACCGCGCTCGGGCGAGCGCCTGGGCGAGGGGGCGGGCGCAGGGGGGGGGGTCCATGGAACCCGTCACTCCCGACATCGTATTTGGGTACATTCTCCGTCTGGAAAGCCAAAGGCGCATGGACTTACAGATCTGACCCGCGGGCGTCGCTGGGACCCTATCGGGGCGACCAGCGCGCGACGCGGGAATTCCGCGCTGCGCTCTGCCCAGAGCCTCGCTCGCCCCCGTCCTCCCTCTGCCTAGCGGCCACAGCCTTACCCGCTATCAGCCAGCCAGCTAGTCTTCTCTGCTCCGTGCAGCGGACGACCCGCGCGCGTCGCTGGGACCTTTTCGGGGCGACCGGCGTGGGGACTTCGTGCGGCGCCGCACCCGCAGCCATGGACATCGGCGCGCACGGACAAAAAGGCATAACAAGAAAGGGAAGGAAGCTGGCGCGATCCTCGTGAGGAGCGTGCCCACATGGGCGTCGACATTCATGCACGTCGACTGATTCGCACGCAGAATCATTCGCAATCAGACTCACTCGCGCCCAGGTTCACCCTTTCTCAGTCTCTCGCACTCAGACCGACCGTCTTTGTTCGCATCGTGTAACCCGCCACGCATTTCGGCACGCCCCTCACACGGCTCGTGGCCCCATAGGGAGAGCGGGCGAAAATGATATTCACAATTGCGGTATCCACAACTGCATATGGTTGGGTCCTTCGCCAAGATAAAAATTATTCGGCAATTCTTCTTCAGACAATGCGAGCCGCGCTGCGCGGGCCGCCGTACCTTGAATTTTTTTTGGGGGGGCGCGGGGCTTCACATCGAGAATGGTATTGACCCATTCCGTCGTTGAGCGAGCGAGCCCCCTCCTCTCCCTCTTTCCCCCTCCTCCTCCTCCCCATCCTCCTCCTCCTCCTCCTCCTTTTCCTCCTCCCCCTCCTCCTCCTCATCCACCTCCTCCTCCTCCTCCTCCTCCTCCTCCTCCTCCTCCTCCTCCCTTCCTCCTCCTCCTCCTCCTCCTCCTCCTCCTCCTCCTCCCCGTCCTCCTCCTCCTCCCCGTCTTCCTCCTCCTCTTCGGACAACGCGGGCCGCGCTGCGCGGGCCGCCGAACCCTGACATTGGGGGGGGCTCCCGGGGGGCGGAGCCTCTGCCTCCGCGCGCCGCGCCTCGCCGCCCGCCGCCTCCGCGCTGGCCACCTCCTGGCGTGCTCCGCGGGCGCCGCACGAAGCGCCCGACGGCGACGCAGACGCCGGCGGCGCACTGCGACGGCGACGGCGACGGCGACGTCGACGTCGACGTCGACCGACGTCGACGAGGACGGCGAACGGCGAACGGCGACGGCCTCGCCGTGTTCGAGGTTTCCAGCGCGTTGCTGGAGGCTCTGGTCGCCACGGCTACAAGCAACTCGAGGCTGGCCAAGAGGGACCCTGGGATGGGCCAGAGGAGGAGGAGGAGGAGGAGGAGGAGGAGGAGGAGGAGGGTGGAGGGAGGAGGAGGGAGGAGGAGGAGGGGGAGAGGAGGAGAGGGAGAGGAGGAGGAGGAGGAGGAGATGGAACCTGGGATAGGCCAATGGGGTCGATCTTGACCGCTGCCATGCTGAGCATGCCAGGCCGCCAGACTTCGCGCTCCGCGCGGAGCGAAGCCCGGGCGCCTGCGCGCTCCCGTGTCGCCGCCATGAGGAGATCCTCTCCCAACCAGGCAGCGAGGCGAGGCTTAAGCTTCGCGCCCCGCTGATCGGGTGACCTGCCTGGAGCATGGTGCGTGTCGGAGCGGTGGGTACGTGCAGGCTTCGGGGGTGAGGCGGCTCTTCCTCCCCCTTCCTCCTCCTCCTCCTCCTCCTCCTCCTCCTCCTCCTCCTCCTCCTCCTCCTCCTCTGCTCCTCCTACTGCTGCTCCTCCTCCTCCTCCTCCTCCTCCTCCTCCTCCTCCTCCTCCTCCCCTGTCCTCGAAGGTGGGAGGTCAGGAGAGGCAGAGCAGGAGGAGATGCTGGGCGGCCGATGTCTCGCTCTGGCTGGGCCTGCCGCTCTTCGGGAGTCATCGCTTGAGAGGCCTTGCCCGTGCACCTCGCTACGTGTGCACCACGTGCACAGCGCGAGGCGCCACGCGCGCAGCCCAGCAAAAGGTGGCCGCAGAAGCGCACCGCGCGCTGCACGCAGAGCCACACATTGTCTCATCCACCACATTTCCTGCTCCTTTCTCCTGTTCCTTCTTTCCTTCTTCTTCTCCCCCTCGAGACCCCTGGGGTGTGACAGGTCCCACGCGCGCGTTCTCGCACACGCCAGACGCACACCACATGCGAACGCATGCCACAACCAACACAGGTTGCAAACGCACACATGTTCTGCCTGGGCCAACCAGTCGGGCGAGAGTGCGGCGATCCTAGCAGGGAGGAGAAACCTGCTGGAGGATGGGGACGTGTACGGCGTTTTGAAAAGGGCCTCGCCTCACGAGGGATGCAGGGGTGGACGCCTCGCTCTCGGCGTAGGCTGGCGGAAAACCAACGGACGTAAAAAGCTTTGCGGTCGGAAGGTCAACGGAGACCGCCAGTGATAAGAACGCCCCCCCTCAGAAGAGTCAGCACTGGGCCACGAAAGGTGCTCTGAGTCGGCTGCGTCTTGGGGGAACATCACGGATCAACTCATGTCCTCAGCCGGCTCTACCGGCATCTGGCTCCCCTGCATCTCGAGCAATGCACTCACCTCAAATGACGGGAATCAATGGCAAACTGGTCGTATACTCCTGTTGCGCACTCGCCCGCGGGGGTCCCGCTGGGATGGCTCTGCATCCCACGGGGAGAGCATCGTTTTCGCGGAAGCTGGCACGAAACGCCTGTCGAGGCGATCTGAGAGTAGCCTCGGCGGCAACTGGCAATCGCGACGTCATCATGATCACTACCGTCGCCATTATCATCGTCATCGTCACTGTCGCCGCCCTCGTCCTCAGCGCAACTACCATCATCATCGGCGCCACCGTCGTCGATGTCTTCGTCAACATCATCGCTCGTCCGCCCGAGTCATGGATCTGCATGGGATGTGTACTCGCGTAATTGTGTGACCAAGGTTTTGCGCACAGGTTGCGGGTGGATTGGTGGGATGTTTGCCCGACCATTGGAAGTGGCGACTCTGCCAAAGTATTGATTACGCCCCGTAGCTTACACCACATAAAGTGCACCACGTAGGCTTCACCCCGTATATTGCGCTACATCGGCTGCACCACACAGCTTGCACAATATAGCATGCACTGCGTGCGCCACGTATCATGTACCACGTTGATTCTCTTTCTAAAAACAGAATAGGATCTATCCCCCCCCCCGGCGTTATCATTCCCCTTTTCGGGTGTGTAAATCATATACGATTATTGCCACATGTCCATCCTGAATATGAATTTACACTATCCCCGGGGGCCAGGGTTCCCCCCCCTAAGGTTCCCTTGTAAAAAAAAACAAAAAAAAAACACGATGCGGTGATTTCACGAATCCCTTGCAAAAGATGGGACGAAGTGCACACGCGCGCGTTGTCGCGCGCGCATGCAAAAATCCTTCAAGAACCTTCGGTTGCCGAAAAGATTGTGCAATCGAGTTTCCGAAAAAAAAAAACATACAAAAACACAGGGTTTCGCAACACTGAGTTGCTAAAACAACTTCCGCGCGAGCTCTTAAGAAATCTTAAGAAAACAATATTTTTCTACATTTTCACCACATGCTACCAAACGGGCGTCGCGCGCGCATGTGGAAATCTGTCAAACGCCCTTGCGCGTGTGCCGTCGCGAGAATCCTCTGCAAAAAACTGGACGAAATGCAGACGCGCGCGTCGTCGCGCGCGTACGCCGAAATCCTTCAAAACCCATCGGTTCCGGAAGGATTTCGAAATCGCGTGTCCGAAGAACCTACAAAAACCCAAGGTTTCGCAACACGGATTTTCAACAAAAGCGTGCGCGCGCGCTCTTGCGTCGTTGTCGTCGTCGTCGTCGCCGTCCTCCCTCCTCCCGCGTCGTCGTCGTCGTCGCCTACGTCGTCCTCTGTCTTTCCTCGTGTTCGTCGTCGTCGTCCTTTTTGGCGTCGTGGTCGTTTCCGTCGTCGTTGTCGCCGTGGTCGTCCTTCCTCCTCCTCCCTCGTCGTCGTCGTCGTCGTCCGTCGTCAGCGTCTCGTCGTCGTCCCTCCTATTTCGTCGCCGTCGTCGTCGTTGCGGTTGTCGTCATCGTCTTCCCTCCTCCCTCGTCCTTGTCGTCGTCGGCGCCGCCGTCCTTCCTCCTTCTTCGTCGTTCGCGTCGTCGCCGTCCTCCCTCCTCCCTCGTCGTTGTCGTCGTTGTCGTCGTTGTCGCAATCGTCGTCCTCCCTTCTCCCTCGTCGTCGTCTTCGTTGGCGACGTCGTCGTCGTCGTCGGAGTCGGTGTCGTTGTCGTCGTCGACGTCGTCGGAGACGTCGTCGGTGTCGTCGTAGTCGCCGTCGTCGTCTTCGTCGCCGTCGTCGGCGTCGTTGACGTCGTCGGCGTCGTCGTCGTCGTCGTCGTCGGTGTCGCCGTTGTGGACGTCGAAGTCGTTGGAGACGTCGTCGGTGTCGTCGTAATCGGTGTCGGCGGCGCCGTCGTCGTTGTCACTGTCGTCGTCGGTGTCGTGGCCAAGTGTCATGTGGTACGTACCGTCACGGTCTTGTCTTAAGAGGTATTGCGACCAAGTTGCGGGTGGGAGGGTGGGATGTTTGCACGAGCAGTGGAGAGGACAGCTTCAAGACGGTCAAAGATTAATTCTCTTTTCTAAAAACAGAATAGACTCGACCCCCCCCGGACTTAACGCTTCCCCCTGGGATAATATAATTTCATATATATATATATATTCTGCACACTCGTCCATCCTAAATAATATGAAATCGTATCATCCCAGCCAAACCGGTATCCCCCCCTGAGGTTCCCTTGTAAAAAAAAAAAACACTATGCGGTGACATTTTTTGCTCTAACATAGCATTTTTTCGCGAATCCCTTGCAACAAATGAGAAGTGCACACGCGCGCGTCGTCGCGCGCGCATGCCGAAATCCTTCGAAAACTCTCGGTGCCGGAAGGATTGTGCAATCGAGCTTCCGAAAAAACATAGAAAAACATAGGGTTTCGCAACACAAAGTTGCTGAAAAAGCTTCCGCGCGAGTTCTTGCGAAATCTGAAGAAAACCATAGGTTTTTCAAGATTTTCACAAAATGCTCCCAAACGGGCGTCGCGCGCGCGCATGTCGAAATCTGTCGAACGCCCTTGCGCGCGTGCCGTCGCGAGAATCCCCTGCAAAAAATGGGACGAAGTGCAGACGCGCGCGTCGTCGCGCGCGTACGCCGAAATCCTTCAAAACCCATCGGTTTCGGAAGGATTTCGAAATCGCGCGTCAAAGAAACCTACAAAAACCCAAGGTTTCGCAACACGGATTTTCAACAACAGCGTGCGCGCGCGCGCTCTTGCGTCGTCGTCGACGTCGTCGTCGTCGCCGTCCTCCCTCCTCCCGCGTCGTCGTCGTCGTCGTCGCCTACGTCGTCCTCTGTCTTTCCTCGTGTTCGTCGTCGTCGTCCTCTTTGGCGTCGTGGTCGTTTCCGTCGTCGTTGTCGCCGTGGTCGTCCTTCCTCCTCCTCCCTCGTCGTCGTCGTCGTCCGTCGTCAGCGTCTCGTCGTCGTCCCTCCTATTTCGTCGCCGTCGTCGTCGTCGTCCTCGTTGTTGTCGTCGTCGTCGTCTTCCCTCCTCCCTCGTCGTTGCCGTCGTCGGCGTCGCCGTCCTTCCTCCTTCGTCGTCGTTCGCGTCGTCGCCGTCCTCCCTGCTCCCTCGTCGTTGTCGTCGTTGTCGCAATCGTCGTCCTCCCTCGTCGTCGTCTTCGTTGGCGACGTCGTCGTCGTCTTCGTCGTCGTCGTCGGCGTCGGCGTCGTCGTCGTCCTCGTCGTCGACGACGGCGTCGTCGTCGTCGCCGCCGTCGTCGTCGTCGTCGTCGTCGGCGTCGTTGACGTCGTCGTCGTGGTCGTCGGTGTCGTCGTTGTCGTCATCGTCGGCGTCGTCGGCGTCGTCGTTGTCATCGTCGTCGTCGTCGTCATCGGCGTCGGCGTCGTCGTCGTCGGTGTCGTCGTCGCCGTCGTCGTCGTCGTTGTCGGCGTCGCTGAAGTCGTTGGAGACGTCATCGGTGTCGTCGCACTCGTTCTCGGCGTCGTCGTCGTCGTCGTTGTCGCTGTCGTCGTCGG